GATAGCTCGCCATGGGAGTTGATGCGGATGATGCTGCTTGCCAATACGGGTAAGGTGTTCCGCTTGCTTACGAGGCGGATTAGTCTGTGTACGTACAAAAACACCTCGCTTATGCTCGACACTGTAAAGTTGAACGGTAACAAAGATGACTCGAAAGGCCGGGGTCGCTCTACTCTCAGAACCTACGCAACTTTGTTTCTCAGTACGCCCGAATAGAATCTAACACTAACGGATTGAATACGTCAGTAATAGCTGACAGCAGAAAGTAGAAAGTGAGCAAAGTCACCAACGGATAGCCTTACAGCTTCTAGTGCTTGCTTTTTCATCTGAAAAGCAGCAATATTATGTAATTGGCTATGCTATGTTTCCTTTGTGGTCTCTTTTATTTTTAATATTCCATGTTTCCTTTGTGATCTCGTGATGGCACTGATTGATATCTGTTGGTGACTTTGACGGCTTGCGGAATCTTTGTTCTTGTCTGAGAACCTCCATCAATTAGAGGTCACTAGGGCAGGACTCAATTTCGCAACGAATTTTCTAAAGGTGCTACATTCAAGAAAGAGCAATCGGCTCGCATTTGGTGAATCCAACTCGAAGTGATTTCTGGCGTATAAAATTGGGGAACAGCCCTTTCGTTGTGATTGCCTGTACTTATTTGTTGTAAAGCAGTGCGTTATACTCATGTTTGATATAAGTAGGACGAGTATCCAACAGCGTAATTTTGGGGGCCTAGGCATCTCAAGGTCGACTTGAACTAACCCCGCCGAAAGTAATGAGCAGTGTAGATGTGGTAAATCTCACGATGTCTCTTCGAGAGCAAGACTTACAAACGATCATAGCGTGAGTTGTTGTCTTTTCCTTTATCCTTTTTGAACACTAGATGCGAACTGTCTAGCAGTCAGGCTGGTTATAGTGTCGCCATTTCGGTAAAGCTGATATCTTCAAAAGGCTTTGGCTCTGGTCACAATTTCCAATCGCAAGGTAGTATTCATCTCTCGCCAAATTTCTCAGTGTGTACGGTCAAACATGACAGTACCAATATTGGTTTACGATTGTTCTACGGAACTGGCACGGAAAAAGAAATGCACCTTTCCCTGGTAGTGAGAAGCTGATCTGGCAAGAGCGAAGGCTTTGTCTTTTCCAGTTGACGCCTTTCTGGTGCCTTTCTACAGCGAGAAAACTCCGTTTCTTTGCTATGTGGACATGGTATTCGTGGATGCTTGCACGAGGCACATTGTCATTCAAAAGCTTTGTTTTGTACCACGCGCTTGTCGTCTTCATTTTTCATTCTCATTGATAGACGCGCTTGAGTGGTGATCCGTACAAGTCGCATATATGGGGGCGCTTATCTTTCGTTGTCCGAAGAAGGGAACCACTCTGGATGTCATCACATCAAATGAGGTGAGAAGCTGTGTCTCAACCTATTCATCGTTGGCTGGCTTCCGCGCAGCTCCCGGGTCGTGATCAAGTGGCAATTTCACCGGGCTATCTTCACACAGGTACAAGCCCTCGTCCGTTGGGAACTTTAGTACCCGAAAGTTGGTTAATTCAGCAGGGCGCGCTCGTGATTCGATATTCAATGTTGAAGACGTTGAGTCCCTGACATGTCTTTGATGGGGAACTATCCTCAGCGCCGTTATGCAGTCATCGCTCGCGGATTGTGACTTGCTCCGAGCGCTTAAGCTCGCTCTCATGCCGCTTGTTCGAAGAGGTCCAGACCCCAGTCCAGCTGAGCTTACACTCGCTCTGACGATCAGTCAAACTCATCGGAATGCTACGGTAGAAAATTTCACCCCTTTCACCCCACACTACACGCTTTCGCTCCCAGACCTGATGCTGGATGTCTACCATAGCGCCATGCTACGCATAGTCTTGCGCAACGTCGTAATGCTGCTGGACGGCGCTTGACTTATTTCCAACATGTGCAAATGGGTTTCAGCTCCACTTCATCGTAAGTATGCATCCGAATCCCCATGGAATGTTCATTGCCGACGTTGATATCCAGAGCCTCCACAATCTATATCCACATCTCTTGGAACATGTCCCTTGTGAGGTCCATTTCATTTAATCTCTTGTCTTCAGGTTAGCATTGGCAATATTCTCTGCGGTACCCGAGTCTACTGGATGTGATGTTGGGATGTTCTCAACGTGATGTTCCTTCGATATCACATTCACGATCGTCTTCGTGCCTCCGAGGACTCAAAGCATTCATGTGATTTTAAGGATGAAGTGGAATGTAATTGTACGTTACACTGTCGAAACTCTATTTGAATTATTTTATAGTCTGAAGTAGGAGCCAACGTTTTGAGGCCGGATTCTTCGACTTCTATTGGCTCAATCACTGACGACATCGGCCCTTATGACGTAGTCCGTCGGTACACTCAGAGTTAGCGTGAGGTTCGTCGTCGTGCTGGCTCAGCGCTCTCCCGCATATTCTCTCCAGATATTCCTCCAGTTAGGTTGAGATACCGTTAATCTATAATTGTGGACACGAGATACTCTTTTCTATCGTGCAATCGTGTTCAGAGTTTGCCAACGGACAAAACCTTCGAGTTGAGAACAGGACTTCTCACGCACTCGCTATCCCACTCGCATTCGACGTGCTATCGTTCTCCGATACCTTGCCTGGAGTTTTTGGAGTGTATTGTGTCTCTCAACACGAAGACCTGGCGAGACTGGTGAAAAACCCCAGTTTTCCGGCGTGTAGGTGAAGGAATCGCTATCGCAATAAACAATACCGTCAGATTATGTAAGTGGTTTACGGCCTCAGGTAATGCTACCTGTACGTCTAACATAGAGACAACGATACAGGTCGAAAAGTCAAAACCGATCCTATATTGATGGTCATTCTAAATGCTCTCGAATAGGTTTACCTCGCCCAACTCAGTTGAAATCCGATTCTTAGCCGAGAGAATACTCCTTGATACTGTCATTTTATCCATTCTTGTCTTCAGGGCCATCTCGAACAACGCTGTGCTTCAAGCACTAATCGAGGGGAGGGTTTTTCAGTCACTTCGAGCACTGACCCTTACAGATCTCATTCCGTATCCTATCCAAATCTTCAACGAGTTCGTAGCGCTTTTCTACTCCAGCTTGTCAAGGAGCTCACGATCAATACGCACGGTACTTCATTGCCCATAGACGAAATGTGGGATGTGTTCTGGATCCTGACAGTGCTCACTCAAATCCTTAGCCTGCTCCAAACTCAATTTACTTCCCTCGCGTTAATCAGTGATCGATACGTCGCCGTATTCCATGCTCGCGAGAACAGCTGCGACAATTCCGATGAAGTCCCCTGCCCGTCACTGCATCGTGCTCCCGCTACTTTAGGTTTGAAACGGGTCATCGCGTGGCATGCAACGACTTTGCGTACGCTCGTAATTGAATCATGCCCAATAATTCTTAGCGACGCTCACCTAACGCACATGGGCAGATATCTTTCAATACCTTCGTCAAACACTATGGGACTTGCTAGAGGCGAAGTTCCTCTTGAGTGCTGGATGGGGATTGGGGAAGGATAACGAGCCGCGAGAGGAGATGCGTATGTCGTATGAACTAGCGTCGGCTAGGTACGGTTACCAGCGCGATTGGCTCATGTGGGCCCAGCGCTCAGACCGGCGGATAAGATCGCTATGGAGCGATTCGTTGCCAATGTGAAAACCAGCAAGTACTCTAGGGTCAGGGACCCGAGGAATGAGGAGTGAATACCGGTACGCGTGGATATCATTCACATCATCCGGTGTCACGCGAATCGACATCGTTCGTCATTATTTCGAGCAATTGAACCTCCGATTGAGTGCCGTTTTTGATACCATATTCCGACCATATTCGAAGGAAAGATACCTTTTTGTTTATGTGCCGGCAGAAGAGTAAGCAGCTCGAGATTCCTATATGTACCATAGATGCGCAGAACCACCCCCCGCACGCACGCAGTTTCAACTTGGCGGCGTGTGTAGTTCCATTGTCGTACAACTATATACTATATTGCTCACGCAAGGCCGCGGGCCCTAGCGCATGAAATTTCATCCCTGTTTCACGATGTCTTAACGATACAACTATTGAACTGCAGGAGGTCAGATTATAGCTAGCCTCCACCCGAGCTCTGTATATTAGGAAACACAATGAGGATTATTGCATGGCTGATTCTAGCAACCAAAGCACCCGAGGGTAAAATGTGCTGTGAAGAGGAACAAATCCTTCAAATTCGCCTGCTATTTCCCGGGTTTAATTCAGTTGGAGCGCAGACAACAAAAGAACGACGATGAAAAAAAATCCATATCCATATAATTGCACGACAACGAGACGGGGACGGCAGTAGCCATAATTAAGTATACACGAGGATGAGACAGCACAGAATGGCATACAGATACGCTACATTGCTTTAAATCAGAGGGTCACAGGGCCTTCGCTACACTCGCTGCAAGAAGTCAAGAATTTGTTCTCTATCATGATGCCCTCAGCCGAACAAATGAACCTCGGGTTGAAGGGCGGGGAATCCAATGCCGAGGCCGGGTGCATGGGCGTAATCTTGCAGACTTGGAGATTCCGGCCAAGAATACCTGCGCAGTGTAACAATGAGTCTCCACCTGGACTGCGCATGGTTTCCGAATCCGGCAGACTCACCCTGGCATCATCATGTCGCGCCAATACCCAGGGTTGTTCAAATGTGCCAAAGGGCCCAAAGACTCGAAGCCCTGCCCGTTTGGCCCAAGCGCAGAATCGAACACTTCCATTGGGCCCGAGCCGGCATACACGATATCCGGCTGATAGACCAATTCCCCAGACATTGACGCTTGCGCAAGCGCACCACCGCTGCTCATGCCCGGGTTCTCCTGATAGTCTGACTGGGACGGCGCTGCCGCAAATATGTGCTGTGAGGGGCTTGACGCCGTTGACGAACCGGCCTGAGATTGGAACGTGGTGCTAGAACCTGGTGTGGTTTGCGATGTCTGAGTCTGCGGTGGGTGCTGGGGCTGAGACTGGATACGTCCACTCGTAGCGATGTCGCGTCGATGCCTTGTCAACAGACCAGCCAGGAAGCGGGCATGCAGCTTAGGCGTGTGGCGATCATCGATTGAAATCTCGGATGAGCTCCAAGTCGAAATCAATCTGCCTATTAAGTCATAAATCTCCGCCTCCTGCTCTGAAGTAATGAGGCTCTTGAATTCGGGACGCAACAACTTTAGTGCAAGGATGATCGTTAACGCTAGCCGATAGCTCCCCTGACCAAACACGTACCTTCAATAAGAAGGCCGAAGCAAAGGATGCAAAAATAAAATGGCCTAAGGAAGATCAGAGCGGGACCGGCGTCGGGGATTTAGCCCAAAGACATACCGTCGGGCGAATATCGCATATATCCGCTGGGGCATAATGTTTCAATCATGCACAAGATAACCGATTTCGCAGATTCAAAACACTGAAAATATTTTATGAACAAATGCGCGTTTTCAATGGCTAGGGGGTAGCACACTTTATCTAAGAAAAGCTGATCTTCGGGTTTGATCCCACGAATGTACGCTTGCTGGAACCCGAATGAATACATTACAAGTCGGGAATAGTTTGTCAGGCTGTCATCGAGTTGTGAGAAAAAGAAGAGGCCGCAATTTGTTTCAACATACAAAGGCAGTAAAGATGCCCGGAAGGCATTACTTGGGTCTAGAAACAAGCGTGAGTGTCACATCTCCAGAGACCATATCTCGGGTTCCCACCTTCCAATTGACCATCCTCTTCGAACTTGTGAGTCCAATCCTCATAGTATCTCGTAAGACGTTCGTCATGAGCCAACGTGACTGCACGGAAGTCGAGCCTCTACTCTCACTCGTCAGACGCCATTCTGGCCAACGGATGAAGAGAACAGACCTGGTTCAGGCCCGTCGGTGCGTTAGGGTCTGAATAAATCTCTTCGTGGAAGCGTGCCACAGTACGCAACAATTGAGTATACGCGCACAGACCGGGATCCCCCTATTCCAATCTAAATACATAAATCTACTGAGACTCCGCCAGGGACTTACACCATTGTTTAAGGGTGACTTCTTGTACCATACCTCGGAGTTGCGAATAATACTAATAAGCTGAAGTGAGTATCAGGGCGCTAAGTAGAAATGAAGAGACACGCACTAGTCTTCCTTGATCGTCGACGGCTTGCCAAATTGCGTGGCCATAGACCGATCAAGATTAAAGCAGTTTAACCACAGTCGCTCCTGATTCAAAATCTCACGCTTTTGCTGGTCAGACTTGGGTTTGATTGCTGAAACTTGATGCAAGTTGAGATCCGTGGCAATGCTGTTGTTAGAATTAGCGACAGCAGATACACGTTATCGCAGACAATGGGCCTACCGAATCGCGAGACCGATATACATCCAGCTACGATCTTCTTCCCAGCGGCGTGCGGGAACAGCGTAGGTACTTAACAGGATGTAGGCTTGAGAAAGTTCGACTGATTTCCATCCATTAAGGAGGCCGTCTGCAGCTGCTCTTCGCGCAAAATGCATCGCAATCGGATAGATCTCCGACTTCTCCTTATAGTAACGCGACGAGACCGCGCACACTGAGATGTACATCAACCACTGGGACAGTATTTACTGGGACGCTCGTGGACACTCACCGACTGTAAATAGGAACGGGCACCTGGCGAATGTTGACTGCACGGTGTGTATCTCGCGATCAAGTAAGGTGACATGGACCTAGTCATCCAGAGTTAGTCGACGAACAGACACGAACTTGAACGGCTTACGTTAAGCTTAGTGTAAAAGCTAAGCATATGACGGTCAATCCCTCATCTATGGAAAGAGTAACGAAAACGTACATATCGAAGAGCTTATCAACGTCATCCGGAGTGAGCAGTCCATGAGTCAGGATCTCCGGTGGCGTGTGATTCTCGATTAGCGATGCACGGATTGAAAGATCAAAGGCAGGCCCTGGAGGTTGGCAGTGTTAGACATGCGATCAGACAAACAAGCTGAACAACGTGCCCGGCATAAAGTACGTCGCACTAGCCATGCCCTGGATAATAAGCCATCACTCAGCATACCTATAACGCTGAGATCAAAATTACATACAACTTCTTCATCGTCGGAATCACCCGCGCCAGGCTTGTTCTTATTGGCCTTCTTCGACTTCTTGGGATTCTCCAGTGCTAAGCTTGCAAGGAGGCCCAGTGGTACTGAGGTATCGGGGAATGCAGGGAGTTTGTCGTCCCTGGGAAGGCCACTGTCTTCCCCGTCACCACCGGTGTCCAGTTCGTCTCCCTCTACCTCACCATCCGAGTCGTCGTCCACCATATCATTCTGGCCACGTGACTCGATCTTGAATGCTTCGGCACCACCCGAAGCCCCAGCGCTCTGCACGCTGACCTCCATACTGGCCTGGAGGCGGTCGAGCCAAGCGATAACATCTCGATTATTCCTGTCCGAAGGAGAGGTAGCCATCCGGTACGATGCAATTGAAAGCGGTGTGGCTGTATACGGGTTATGTAGCTGCCGAGGGAACAACCAATGTCTGATTAGTTTCCGAGTTTAACAGACAATGCGACACCCGCACCTCTCGGAGCAGCTTCTCGATAATCGCATCCTTCTGGCGGATTTGTGCGAGAAGATATTCGCGTTTGCTAATACGAGAGAGAAGGGGTGAGTAAGATGATGAATCCTCGTCGGACGAGTGGGACGCAGGAGATGCAGAGGATGGCTCCATGGCACACCAGATTCGAATGTACTCGTGGTGCAGCAATGAAGAGCAGCGATAGCACTCAAACACAATGTCCCGAGATACTTAAGCTCTCAATTCATTAGTGCACATCGATACGCGCCAAGCCGTACGCATATATGAGCGCTGGAATGTTTCCCGCACTTACTTTGGTGCATTCCGCGGCTTACGGCCCTCAACTATGCATTGGTTGCCGCTGGTCTTGCAACGTTTGCACGTGTTCTGACCTTCAATAAATTCGCACTTCATCTACACGCCACAAGGTACACCGATCCGGAGTGGATGACAGGAGCCACGAAAAAGAACAGAACGAGCATTAGCGCTCTTTCGAGTGAGCGTATCAGCATACGTGCCTTGAGTTTCTTGCAATGCCTGCATGCACCTGGTCTGGCTCGTGGCAATAGTGGTCCACCGATTGCGATTGTAGGGCGTCAAATTCCCAGGTCACGTCCGGTGCAAGGGCAAGCCGGTCATAGACACACGGCGAAACCAAGACCCGGAGATGGAGTTTTTGGACGCAGACAGCGGACGTCAAGCGAACACCCGAATATGTGGGGGGAGAAAGAAAAGACGCATAGTCAGCATTCCAAATCAGTGTTCGCAAGCTGGAAAAAAGAGATCAGGACGTACAGTCGTGTTGCAAAATGATCATGGCCCGACGACGGCGGCATAGTTATAGACATAGGCGGAAAGCCTTCGTCGTCACTCTGCTCGCTTTCTTGACCACTCGTGCGGACGCGTTTTTTGCTCTGCGAGCCCGCCCCTGTCCGCTTATCTTGCATCCGTTTGCCTGCACCCTGAGGCTGGCTAGGAGACGAGCGCGATGCAGGAGCCGCGGGCAGCGATGTGCCTGCTGATCCTGGGCGATTCGAGGTCAAATAGGATGGTTGACCCTCGTCCGTAAACGGCGACAGAGCTGGAGATGTCGAGAACCGCGCAGGCGGCGTAAATGCTGTCGTCGAAGGAGCCCCCGAAGCGGTCTCCGGGAACTCATATGCCTTCCAGCTGTACTCCTGGTGCGGCAGCTGCTCAGCGGGGGCCGACTGGACCTGCTCGGCAGCGTACGTGAAGCTCTCGTTTGCCTGCTCGGGCTGCTGAAAAGTTTGATACTGCTGAAAGCTAGTATCGATGGCCGGAACGCTCAGATGCTGGGTCATCTGCTGCTGCGCGGATTGATATTGGACGGTCGCTCCAGTTGATGCAGTGGGACGCCGATGCTGTCTCGGCATCGCGCGCTGTGGGCGATCGACGGCGGCCCTCTGCATGAACGGCTGGTCGTACGAAACCTGTGCGGTAGATGAATAGGTAGTCGTATCATAGCCGAATTGATTCGGTTGAGCCTCCATGATACCGACAGATACATCCTGCATCTGTTGGGGTTGTGGCTGAGACGATGTCTGCTGCTGCTGCTGTTGCTGCTGTTGCTGATAGACGAAATGGGGGACGTTACCGGGATGGGCTCCCTGAGGATAGGCATACTGCGCTCCCTGTTGATTGTAGTTCTCCACCCACTGCTGATAATCTGCTGACTGCTGCACGGCCACGTCACCAGGGTCATAAAACATTGGGGGAGGTGCGAACATGGGCGTGTGTTGCTGGGTCGAGGGGGTAGTGGTGGAGTGAGCGAGATGGGCGTCCGGGTGGGAGAACGCCCAGGCGTTCTGGCCGTCTAAGACAAAGTCAGAGGGGCGTGAGGATTGAGGGCGGGTGTACTGACCTGAGAGGGGAGAATTCCGGTGCTTTTCACCTCCGGAGGAGACTGGGTGATTGATTGAATCAAACGCCGCTTGGTGAGCCACGCGCTGGGCGTCGGGTGGGTCCCGGATAGATTGGAGGCTCTGCGACATAGATCTGAGCTGGTGTATGCAAGAAATAGGAAAGACGAGTGCAAGTATGCGGTGAATGTGAACGAGATGGGACTCCGACCAGTCTCGCTGAGTGGTGGTCAATGAACAAGAACCGCAGAGCGAGAGATGCTCCTGTAGCCGCCGGATGTTCTACTCGGTCCGCTGGGTCGAGCACGTCGATAGGCAACACAGACGTCGAGATGGAGAGATTCCGAGCCTAACTGTTCGCAAGCATTGCTGACTGCCGACAAGCAAGTCCATTCCGTTCCAAGCGCTCGGACTGAATAATAAGCTATTTTTAAATTTGCCTCGCAAGACCTACTTACTAGATGATCCTACCTCATCGCCGCCAGATACGGAAATTATATGTATACGACATTGCATTGTTCGACTCCTACCTCTACACACTCATGCCTGCATACCATATGCAATGTTGCCTGGCCAAGCCGTTCAATCGTTCCATTTCAATCTTGGACAGTGTAGCTCAGCAGGCGTGGTCACATTTAACCACACATGTGATTCACGCTTCACGCCGTCCTGCCGGACGATCCCCGTGGCCACCAAGTTCGGCTGTCGAGCTGCCAATGAATTCAGATCCTCAAGGCCTCAACCCTGACTTCTGCCACAACGTTAACAAGCTTAAGATAGTGAATTGTCCAGTATGTCCAAGACTTGAGTGTGGTACAGCTCCCAGTGGATCTTCGACTTGGAAGTACACAGGGAAGTACAGCATTGGCCGCCCTTGGCAGTGCGTGCGCACCGGAGACCACCGTATCTTGTTTCCCCCCCCCGTTCTTTTGATTCCCCGTGAAGGCAGTGCCCCATGCAAAGAGTCAGTATATGCATGCATAGCATTGCACGAGTTACACATAGCGAAGGATATAGCAGCATTTTATCGTACATACTTCCGGACAAGCTCAAGCGCCTCTACTAGTACTTACTACGCTGGCTGCCAGTGGGTGCCCCCCCAATTTCTATCATCTAAACTTGTTTGATGCGAATACTCACAGAAGATCTACTCTTACACAGCAATCTGCCTCGTTGTACAGGCTCGGGGATGATGCTGATCATGATCCGCGTTATCGTTGCGGCTCTGCTGTCGTGTCTTCTGATCATGTCTCTGGAGTGGGCCTCGCCGAACGTAACACCTCCTCGATCTTGTAGGTGCGTCTGCATGATCCGTGAGGAATACACAAATCACAGCCGTTCACTGCGTGGCACTAGCATTGCGCTCGGAGCACTGTCGTCAGAACGACATGACCATGCACAGATGCATGCACATGGAACATGTGTCGGGGGCATGTTGGGAGTCTGAGTACATGCTGTTGGAGTAAACAGACAGCGGGAGGGTCTGTCGCCTCATTGCAAGCATGCAATGGCGGGCACAAAAGCGACAAGTGCGCCATAGCCAAGTGGGCGCGTGATTCTTCATAAATTCGCGACATGCTATCCACGCTCTTCCTTTCTCACATAAGAAAGCGACCCCATCGCGTCAAAGACCAACAGCCTATTCAACTTGCTATCCAATACGCCGTCTCATCAACACAGTCCCCCCCCGCTTCGCATACAATGGGTAACAACCAGAGTGCATCAAGCTCGCCGCGCCGTAAGGCCTCGCAAGTAAGCAGGTCATCGACATTATCATCGTCCCCATATATGCCTGGAGCGGAGACACCGCGGGTGGTATCGCAATGCGAAGAACTGAGTCCAGGGAAGGACAGGACAGTAGGTTACGAGCTGACTGTTGACGTGCTTGGAAGCCAGGGTTAGTTGTAATTTATTTAAATATCTGCAAGCGCTGGCACTTACAAGCATGTAGCTCCTGACAAAGTGAAGAGCGTTCCAACCACTCCTCGGCCGCTGTCTATAGTGGAGGGTATCAAGACTCCTGAAGCACAAGTCATGGCATCGCCAACCGAAACACATCGAGACAGCTTTAATCTGGAACATGCAGACGCGGCACTGAGCACTAGTCTCGTGAACCAAGAAGAATTGCACACAGAGAGAACATCAGACGAGCGCACCCATGGGTGGCTTCCCGGCACATATGTTCTATTGAACTCCAGGAGTGGGACCGCGCTTGATCTATCCGGTGCTGATCAAAAAACGATCATTGGCTTCCCTGCGCATATGGGCCAGAATCAGCAAGTGGGTGCTGATTTTCTTGCGAGTGCTTGACGTTAACGATATGTCCCGCTGCAGTGGGAATTTATTCCAAGCGGACAAGGATATGCCATTCGCAGCGCGCGTCCCTCATTATGCGGGTCGTATCTGACCGTCGAGAACCTCTGTGACAATGCCCCGGTGATTGCCAACCCATTTCCCACCAGTTGGGACGTGAAAGTAGACAGGGAAGGATCGCTGCAGTGTGTCCTCGTTTTTCAACTTCTCCACCAATCTCGAGCTGATTGTGTGTAGGATTTCGTGGCCTGGTACAGATTTCACCCTTGATCTTGCTGACTGGGGGAGCGCTACTCCTGGCACCAAAGTAAGCTCATAGCTATCTCGAATGAGTGCAGAACCGTTGACAATTTTGCATACAGGTGCAGCTGATGCGAGCGAAACCCGGGGAACCATGTCAGCTGTGGAAGTCTGTCCGCTGTGCATCTATGGAAGACCAACAGGAGAAGGTTACAAGGAGTGTAATGCCACCCATGATCACGGAGACCATCGTAGTATCAGAAGGCAAAGATGATGTTGTCACGACGCGCACAACGACGACGACGACGATAACTGCCGTAACCACGGTAACGAGGGCTGCGCGCAGAGGAGTAACGTCCTAGTCCATAACATCCACGAGAGGTCCGAGGAAGACATAGCTTGTATCATATTGAACTGATTAGTATATATTTGAACGGGTGTGATCTATGATAAGTCGAAATGAGCGTGACGTCAATGCAAGTTCAACCACGCCGGGGAATGGACATACTGCATAGTCGAAAATGGTAGTTTGCCCGTGTATCACTGTCCAGTAAGCGAAGCAGAGCACATAATAGACCTTTAGCGTATTGCTCAAATTATACACCGCTAGACAGGTGGTCTATAAGATCCTGAATGGTGAACATTGCAACACATGAAATTGTAACGCAAAGGGAATGGCAGTGGCAGGGCCGTCACGAACCTGTAGTAGATCGTCAATCCCGATAGACCCATGGAGTCAAAGACCTGTGTTCTACGGTACGAGAGATTAAAAAATCCAGCTCACTACATTCCTGATTATGAAAGAGTCTAAATTGCTGCTATACCTCTCCGTCTGATCCAGTCACAATTATATCATCGTGCAGGAGACGCTTCTCTCGACGATGGAGCGTTCTTCATGATGATAGCCAGAATACAGGCGTTAAATGTGAGCAAGAGAACATCTTCTAGTCCACTATCCAGAAAGCTTGTGCGCAGCATCGGTTGAGAAGACAGGTACATGCGGTACGATTTTGGTTATGTTGGTGAGCATTGACTTTCAATCGAGGAACAGCACGGATTGATCGGTATATCTGATTAGATATGCTCCCAAACATCGCAAATTGTCCATCTGCTTATTGGGTCACCTCAATTCGGCTACCATCATGGTCGTCAATCTCCTGTGCGCATCCCGAGCTGATTTTGTTGAGCATCGGAACTCATGCTTATAGTCTGAATATTCTCAGAATTTCCCCTGTTGAAAAATTGAAGTCGCATACACGATTCTTTCTCACTCTTCGGTCTCAGGAAGGTCGTTACCATTCAATAATTCTGTTTCGACTTTCTCCTAGTCAAGCAAAGGACGACCAGCATGGGTCACCTCGGAAGAATATACAGGCTACGGTTGACTACGGTCAATTATATGCGATGGAAGCCAACTGTCCACACCTCGGCGCCGATCTGTCGCACGCGGAAATCGAAGAGTACGATACGGGCGTAGTGGCTGTCTGTCCGTGGCATCGGTATTTCAGTCTCATGTTTGCGTATATCGTTACCCCTTGATTAAATTTCCAAGGTGCCAGATATGACTTTGATCTCCAAACGGGAAATAGTGAGGCCGGATTGAAGGCGTGCACATATGCAGTCGAAGTTCGGACGGATGACGCTGGTGTTGAGGCTGTATGGGTGGATACACCTGAGGATGGTACAGAATGGCGGCTTGTCGAACTCAGGCCTGTCTCAGAAGGTATGTGTTCGTATTAATTTTGCAGCGATCGTAGTTCATCAAATTCCTGCAGCATTTGCCGATCCTCCGCCTCTGCCTGATATTTCGAAGCTGTCAATTTCCTCAAACGAGTCTGCAACGTCAGAAGCTTTGACACAAGACGTTGTGCCGCCTGAAGAGCCTACAACGCTGATACAATGGGCAGTACTTATATTGAACACCGCAGATCCTACCTTGAAGGCAAGCAGTTGATCCATATCCAGGTATTTATTCGCGCACATACCCACTCATATTCCACTCTGGGCTAGGTCCAGCGAACTAGACACGCAGTGCATCTATTTCAGACCGGACAACTGAAGTCGATTGGGCATCGCTCAGCAAACGTACCCAGACCTCCTGACGTCCCTCCGCGACAAGAAGCTTTCGTACGAAATACGGTTGAGCCAGCAAAGGTAGCGAAGAGAAAGAATAGGGCGGTCATGTTGCATGCACTAGCGAACATAGAGCAATGGGCGTAAGTATGGCAATTTTCACACGAGTGGTCTTGCCACTGACCATCCTCATTCGTGAAACAGAATCGATCTCGCGTAAGTCATGCCACACTTTTGTCCTCACGACTATTTGTTAGACTTCAGATCGTGATTGTAGGTGGGATATAATTGCCCGCTATGGGCCCGAATACCCAGATCTACCGCCTGCCTTCTTCTACGACTTTGCCAAGATGGCCCTCGACGAATCCAAACATTTTTCGCTCCTTACCGCGCGCCTTGCTGCTCTCTCTCCGAGCACACCATACGGCTCACTGCCTGTTCACGCGTCCCTATGGGAATCGGCGCGCGTCACCTTCGGATCGTTGCGCGCCCGACTCGTCATAATCCATCTTGTGCACGAGGCACGCGGTCTAGACGTGAACCCGGGGACGATCGAGCGATTTCGTCGCGCAGGCGATGATGAGAGTGTGAAGGTACTGGACATCGTCCACCAGGACGAGGTGACCCATGTCACAACAGGACATCGATGGTTCATGTGGATTTGCGGAAAGCAAGGCGTTGACCCGGTAAGCACGTTCAGAGACGAGGTGAAGAGGTGCTGGAGAGGGGATGTCAAGGGGCCCTTCAATGTAGAGGATAGGGAGAAGGCAGGAATGACAAGAGACTTCTACGAAGATCTACGCGGGGAGATGCGTGGAGATTGGGAACATGCAAGAGAAGTTCAAGGAGCTTGATGTAACATTGATCAATTCAATACGGTTTCCAAGGGGGTTGATATTGATATACCTGCGATACTAGGATGAGCTGAACCACCTCGAGATGGTTTTCGGGAACAATTCAACTCCAAACATGGTTTTCATAGATTGGCCAGATCAACAAGCGAACGTATTACCCAAGCTGCCCGAACAACATACGCAGATGAAAGTCCATGTTATCATCATTCAACGTGATCGCGCTAATTTAGGTATATCAGACGGACACAGCGGCATCTACAGTACTGCAGGAGAACTGGACTCGGAAGCCATGGCGTAGAGCCTGTCCTTGTCGCCGCTCTCATCCACGAGCGCACGAAGTCTGCCCGCCTCTTTTTGGAGTAGTTCATATGGCTTGCCAAACTCAACCTGAAAAATTGTCTGAGAATGTATGCGTGTAAGACTATCAAGCAGATTGACTTACAATGCGACCCGCGTCAAGAACCATCTGCAACATGATCGAACATAGTCAATAACACGAGCAAACCCGCTGTTGCTTGAACTACTCACAATTCTATCGGCGTCCATGATTGTCTGCAAACGATGCGCTACGGTGAGAAGCGTGACGCCATTGTTCAACTCTTTCCGCAAAGATTCTTGGATGATGGCGTCTGTCGCATAATCTGTAACAACGCATCAGGTCGTGTGATGAATGATTCTAGGACAAACTAGTCCCACCAATAGCCGACGTTGCTATGTATTGTGAACGTGTTAGTGCCGTGCACGCGTGATAAGAAGCGAGAATTCGTACCCTCGTCCAGAATCAACAGCTTGCTCTGCCGTACGATCGCTCTAGCCAATGCGAGAATCTGTCTCTGGCCAACGGACAGATTACCTCCTCCGTTAGAGATTTGACTGTCCAGGTTGATACAGCCTTCTTCTGTGTCACTTTGCAGCGCGAATAGACCCGCGGAGCGTAGAGCATCGTTCAGCACTATGTCATCGTATTGCTCGAAAGGATCTAAGTTCTGACGCAATGTACCACTCAGGAGTTCTGGCTGCAAAGCATATCAGATACAGTCTTCAAGATGAATCTGGGGATACTCACCACTTGGGGAATGATGGTGATATGTGATCTGAGAGCGTCCAAATTGAGGCTATCGGTTGGGATCCCATCGTAATATACTTTGCCTTCGGTGACAATACATCGCAGAAGGGCCAGTGTCAAGGAACTCTGGATTAGATGATTAGCGTGCTGAGATCTAGAACGATGTCAAGTGTTCGACAGCGTACCTTCCCACTTCCTGTGCGTCCAACTGAAATGTAGAGTTAAGCAGCAGGTGATGGGTCTTTCCGCATCACTCACCGATTCCCACGCGTTCTCCAGACTTTATCTCGAAAGATACATCCTCCAGGACTCGGGGACCATCCTATGACAATTTCTGTGAGTCGATCACCATGCTTTTGTCTGAGGATTGCTCACTGAAGAGTAGCGCGCAGACAAATTCTCTACTCTTAGATCGCCACTCGCAGGCCAGTAAGCGGGTGGGGCGCCGCTTTCCGTTGGCTTTGGCTCTTGCTCAATTTCTATGTATTGTTGGATACGCTCAAGGCTGCACGCGAGGTAAGTATTCCGAATCATTATGCTAGGCGACCTTACCTGTTGCCTATTCGAATGATCCCAAATGAACAATGAGATGGTGAATGGTACCACAGAGCGATATGGCGTACCATAAACTTCGAACCTGTTGTAGATTCTGATCCAGAATAATATCATACCGCCAAAGCTGGCTATTGTAGGTGAGCACGAAGGTATATGGAATCATAGTCTCATCCACTGACCTGCCATATTCAAGGCGAAACCGGTTTTGGAAGCGGTCGATCCACCGTATACTAGATATGCCGCAAGAGTGGAAGTGAACACCGCAGCAAGCATATCAATGCGAATAGCAATCCATCTACATTTCCCAGTCGGCGATGCGGCCTGAACATGAGGGCCAAACATACCGATTCAGGTTATAGAACGTGATGGAAGCCCGTGTATACTTGTCGATACGTGTTCTGGATCCTTTCCTGAAGTGATCCTGTGCGCCATAGGCCCGAATGGACACTAGAAGTGAATCAGAAGATGCTTTCGATACGCTTGAATTGGAGCAGTTTACCAAGGCCTGCGAATGCGGCGCCGAAATGGCCCAAAACTGGAGCACGTGCATTGCTCCGTTCCCGTTTGACAGAGAGTTGCGCTTTCATATAGATTTGACCTATCCATCTACCTACCGTGGCGATGATGATTCCCGGGAAAACGAAGACCGGAGATGAGATAACCACAGCAGCAAGCCTGACAGACATAGTCGCTGATGTGTTCAATAGAGCACTGAGGCATCTAGAGAGAACCCCATCGACTAGAAATTGCGTTTATAATCAGTCGCTCAGTGTGCGGTCATTGGAACGTACTGGCATCAATATCTTGGGTACATCTGGTCAGAACACGGGAGGTAGGTGTCCTGTCAAGCCACCTGTAATTGCCCAATGAGATTCGAGCTCGATTAGGACGCACTCCACATCACCTTAACGTTGTACCAAAGAGAGAAGAGATCAACTCCTTATGAATCTGTCTCGACGCTCGCAATGTACCGAGAACGAATACTGTTGACCATGTGAAGAAGCCCAATGCCGATACCACAGTGATGGCAGAGTAGATAGATACATAGCTGATGATGTCATCATAAGTTGTGACACCATCGGTTGCTTATAAGTCTCACTCACAACGGGACACTGACTTCTGATGAGTTCCTTTCTTCGTACTGCCTTGCCCAATAACCAAGGAACCAAACTTGAAGACCATCGGTCACCTCAGTTATGGCGAGGGCAACCGCACAGGTTACCCAGAACAAGACTCGATCTTCACCACCTAGACTGCCCAGGTACAATTTCACTTCAGCGCCATTAGCACTCGAGTTCGAGGGAAAAAATCGAAGTCATATCTGACGCACTGGCTGCCCAACTGACATGCCCTTCTGATATTTCTTCCTCCACGATAAGCTTCCCCGCAGCAGTCTTGGCTAATTCTTCTTCGGTCTGCTTGATATTCTGTTCTACCTTCCCAATGATTTCATTTTCGTTAGCAAGTTCGGCGGCAAGCGTTTTGTCTTTTTCTAGAGCACTAGATAGGGTGCCTTGGCTAGATATCCGCCCTCCAGCAACGGAGACTACGAAATCCGATATCGGACTCGCCATGGCCACATTGTGCGTCTGTAGCAGTACTGTCTGAACAAACGACGCCTGAGGTAGTATGGAACATGACTTACGACGAGGAGTACGGTCCGACCTCGAATTAGATCGCCCTTGAAGCATTTTTCAACAATCCATCGGGCTGTGTGGACGTCGAGAGCTGCTAAAACCTAAAAACAGTCAGCATGGAGGGTGATGTAGAGATGGCGACTGGTGGCACACATCATCAAGAATGAGGATCTCTGCTGACGAGTATACTGCGCGGGCGAGGGTTACACGAGCCTGGTTGTAATATCAGTACATGAAGCGACTCAAGAATAATCTTCCACCTTCTGGCCACCACTAGTTACGAGCGGTGAGTCCAACTTCGACTAGGACTAGTCAACCAACCTGCCTTAATGTAATCCCCTTTTCACCGACCTCTGTAAGATCTCCAGCTTCAAATAATTCAAGGTCCTGCTTCAAACCACACTGATCGAGGACTACTTGTGCTATCAGAGACATCCTATAGCTAGCCAATGAAATAGACCTTTATTGAGCCGCTCTTCATCGTAAGGCGAACCAAACAAGATGTTGTCCTGTATACCAATCAACGCAATGTCTCACTCTGCATGAATTTCACTCACCCGGATCGTTTCATTCTGTATCCATGACTCCTGCGCGGCGAATGCGACCCCACGTTCTCGAGGAAGATTGTAGAGTGAGTCTGGACCCGAAGGCATGTAGTGCATTTCACCTGTATCATACAAAATCGGGTGTCGATGTTCGATATCACATAGCTGGACTATTGACTCACCCAACAGTGCCATCAGCAGTGATGTCTTGCCGGATCCCGTTGGTCCGACAATGATATTGATAGATCCACGCTGAAAGCGTAGCTCATCTTCGATACGAAGGGTGAATTTCCTCCGAGGTGCTGCGGGAGTAGATGTGTTATTCGTTTCATCGGTCCATGTGAACCACGCGTTTCGAAATCCGATGAACTCGCTATCTTCGACAGCATTGGACTGAATAAGTTCGGCCATGATTGAAGACCTCTCTGTGAATTGATCTAGGAGTTCTGTCTATACGTCTACATGTGAACCCCGCTGAAGCACAATGAGCTATATGCCTACCTTCTGCATGAATTCATTGATACGATCAAGCGCCACTCTCGCTAGAAAAGTTATATCAACAACCAGAGCATCCATAAATGGTACGAGTCTACTCACTGCGCATGACATCGGGAACAAAGGTGAAGATCATGCGTAGCTGATTGCTAAACATATCAAACACTGACTCATAAATGAGAGAAAGCAAGGCACAGATTGGCAGGCGGCTCACCAGTCATCGACGAGAATACAATTGAAGCTGTATATAACATGTATTATTAGACATTCCAATTCTACACGTAACCAAGCTTACCCGAAAGCTTCTGCTTCATGACAATTGTCTGCAGAAGAATTTAAAAAGATATCACTGTCCGCAGACTCGGCCCTACTCACATAAGTCACGAAGGTAACAACCATAGTCAATAAGGGTATGGTATAGCTGTGTATGTTTAGTCAATATCCAAAAGTGTTGACTTTGAAGTATGCTCACTTCAAATCGTTGTTAATTACATTCCACAGCTGTGCCCACTTTACTAGCTTCAATTCGGCCTCGCGTTTCTCCGTTAATTGCTGCGTAAGCCGTGGTTCCCACCCGAAAAGTTTGATCATTCGGATAACACCCAACGCTAGCAACGATTGTGAATACCAAAAGATGATCGTTTACAAAAAGACTGATCTCATATTCACATTCAGTGACGCTCTGTACTCGTGCATCGGTCTGCACACCTCGACTATCAGCGTGTTCCGAATATCTGGATCAAGAATAATCCGTACCTTTTGCATTTTTGCAGCCTCTACTTTACGTATTTTACTTGCGACGGCACCAGGAACTGGGAACGCGATGACAATCACAGCCATTCCTGCAAATGCACTATATCGCAGGTGAAATCAGCAATATGTCAAAAATATCAACGAATTTTCAACATACCTCACACCTAGAATTGTGTACAAAAACCATACACACAGTGCAAGCTCCAGAGGAATCCGAACAACTATGATTCACAAATAGATGGGTATCAGCAATAGATCAGAGGCACACGAAGTACACCATACCCAGATACAAAGCAACCTGTCCGAGGGCAAGAGCAGCCAAGTCAGTAGTGATGAGGTTGTTGATTCTCCCAGCCACATTCTTGCTTTTCTCCCCGCCGTTGTCATCTTTGTCGCGCTCGGAAGATGATTGCTTCGTTCGAGGTTGAGCATCGTCCTTGTCTTTTTGCTTACCCATTTTGGAGTCAGCGTCAGCGGCGAGCGTGCTAGAAGTCGATTGTCCCTCTGTTGGTGTCAGTCCGACGCCATCAATCTCAGCGACCGAAGCTGAATCAGGCGTTGTCGTGACTGTGGTAGGTGTATCCGACACGTCTGCTTTCACGCGCATCCGCAACGCGTGTTCGAATACCAGCTGCGTGATAACAGCTTCCAGGCGTACGAGCATGCGCGTCTGGTAGGTCATTAGTATGGACATGTATCAATGACACAAGGAACTACACACCCAAAGGAAAGTGTACATCGATTCGAAAATGACGAACAGCGCTGGACCAATGAGCAGAAATAGGATCCAAACCCATGGTCGAACGAAGGTGTCTTGATCTCGGGATTCAACATAACTATCGTGGATGAGACATTGTCAAGGCACTTTAAATATCATCCACACGAGCACAAAGCGTACGCGAGTAAATTTTTGATCCCCAATGGAGCTGCAAATCGTGAGAACATCTGAAAAACAGTAAGCCCCTCACTCCACACGACATAACAACCACATTTACTTGCGTCAACAACGCAATAACCATAGCGGTAATATCAGTTCCTGTGATTTGTGAAGATGGTCTCATGGTTAGCGGACACTCGGGCACCGCTCATCTAGGATACTCACGGAAGACCTTAAGTAGTCCCCAAAAGATGTGCCTATCCTTCTTCGTCTGTAATGGATCTAGCTCCTACATATGATTGCTTGTCATTGGTAATAATAAAAACCGATCTCAAACGGTTTGACAAACCGGGAAACTGTTCTTGACGAGATTCAGTGCGCTGTCGTGATCGGCGAGGGGCGGGAGGCGTTCAAAAGGATAATGCGACATGCGATACGCTTCAAATACTGTTTTGTCCAAGAACGAATACAGAAGAAGCGACAAAATTGATGCGGTCTGTTCGGGTGCAGGAGGTGAAGGATTCTGATGAAAGGCAATATGCTATACAGTACAGTGACAATAAGTATTACTGATGCGCGCACCTTGGGATCAAGAGGAACATAACGCCGTGGAGCAATAAGAGGAACAAGAACAGCCGCAATGGTCAGCGAAGTCAATTTTCCCCAGAGAAACACGCCTTCGGCAGTGTCAAGAGGTGACAACGTGGACGTTCCGAGAGGCCAGATGTCGCGGTAGATATAAGTTACCCATGCAGACAGAAGGACAAGTGCGCGGTGCCATGAGACGAAGAGAGGAGGGGCGGACCGCATGAGTACTGGCACAAGGGCGAGGATTGATGCATATGCCTATGATATCGTGTCTCAGTATGAATGATGACACCCATGTATATGCGAGATTCACATATGTCCCACATAGTCCAAGATGCAACCAAGGACCAGACGTCACAAGGTCTTCTTTCCGGCTGGCTGAATATGCTGAGAATGCAGACATGCCGAACAAAGCTAAACAAGCCAGGAACCGGACGATGTTGAGGGCAAGTCGGAGTCGATCACCGGGTTGTGAGACTATCGACGATGCCCCAATGCCCACCCTGGCGACTTCAGCCTCATTCGCGCCCTCACGGCTGGGGGCCGATCGCGTAGCACCAAGTTTGGCAAAAAGCCTCTGCAAACCAAGTTGAAGGAGTAGTGCAATTATTGACCAAGCGGCAGCATAGCTGGGAAAGGCGAGAGAGTCAAGAAACATGTTTCTGGCGGACAATCAGCACATGCGACATGCTCAAACTGTGAGAACACATACTTTGGTCCATCGTGAGTGCTATACAGTGAAAGCAGGGTCCCTGCATCCTCGGCAGGAGCTAACACAATCTGAGATGAAGAGTAGGAACTATTGCTGCGCCCGGCAACGGTCCAAGCGGGCATAGCACACTTGAGGAGAGGGACTGATTGCTCAGAGCGAGTCGTGGAGAAATTTATGGACTCCGAATGTCAGAGTCAGAGCGATAGCCCGGCGTCAGGACGATGCCAAACACTCGCTTAGCGCGACGGCTCCGAGATACGTGATGTCCACGCGGAGTCAACAGCGACCAGGTCGCCGTCCATCCGTTCAGCGAGCTCATGAAGGCGCCATGTCAGAATACGAGGGAAAGAGTCCAGCATCCAGATGTTCGTGAATCCGACCTCGGGAAGCAGGAGGACGAGGAGATATATTGAACAGCGTCGGGCTTGCTTGAAGTGGTACGTAAAAGGAAACTTCAGGGACGAGGCCTTTAGACAATACGTACAAATAACACCATTGACGTTGCGGATCACCGTGGCGAGTCCGAAGTTTTATTCGAGTTTGCGGGAACATGCTACCTAACGACCACGCACTTTCTCTATTCCAACCCGATTCTAATTGTAATGATGCTCACCCACGCTGAAATCGAGTCGGAGACAATCAGGCTCAACGTTTCAATGTAGCAGGTACTACCAGTATGCTAGTGACAATGAAAGTGCCTTGCTGCGTTTTAACGAAAGGGCGAGCTGTCGTCCTTATCTGCATGCTAATCTGGAGATGTATGTTCTACCTCAGGAACATGTTGTCAGCCTCTGACATTGCGTCAGAATTGAAATGCTCCCCGCAGCCTCAAATACCCCGACTAAACTCTGGAAGACTCACGATCCTGCTTCATCGCACGTTTATTGAGACCGCGTGATAACGTTGGTTTGGGATCATAACCAGGAGACAGGTGATCCGTGCAGCACGGTGAGTTCTTTTTAGTGAATGATACCGTCCAGGATATAATTTGACGCTTTCGCTATATTCAAGTTATCGCAGTTTTTTGTACGCAATGCTGTTTTTTTCATGCAATATCTGTTTTTGAAGCGAATATTAACAGCCGTAGTCGTCTTCGCAGGTTCTCCTATCCGCATTGCAACTAGATATCAATCAATTCTATATTGGTTTTATCACCACATCTTCTCTCCAGACTTACTTCGTATACTGAGGGTCCCTGCTCCATGGACAAGCAGCGCGTTTACCCTAGGCAGCTTGAGGCTTCGGAGACCACGTCTAGTTATGACTATTGGTGGCCATATCCAGCTTGGACCGCAAGCACTGCAGAGACAATCAGCGTGCCTCTGGCAGTCACACAACTTATTGCCCCTACAACCTCAAGTGACACGTCCGTCATGATCAATTCCATGATCACTGCTGTTCGCCCCATGGTTACGTCCTCAGCCATCCCTTCTAAGAGTGGAACTTTCATCCACATCACAGCCCTACCACCGGCGAGCTCCTCCTCGGCGAGCGCGAGTCTGAACACCTCACACGGGTCATCTTTCAACATCGCTTACCTCGCGCCTCTCTTCGCAGTGCTGGGCGTGATTGCGGGGGCTTTTACTACAACGCTCCTCCTGCGTTGGTATAGCCACTGCGCGGGGCGTCACGCGGCTCGCGGTTCGTATTTCGAATCAGGTCCTCAATATGTTCCAACTCCTGACGTAGGTTCGATGAGGGCACGAGCTCATCAGTCAGATACACTGTCAGTTGATGCCAATGCCTATCTCTCTCCGCATTACTTCCGGTCTACGCAGGCGGAGATTGTGAGAGAGATAGGACGTACACCATCAACCCCCATACGATCACCTCGATATTTACACGTACCTCGATCTCCAGTGGATGCGTTGTCCTCGCCGCTTCCCGCAGAGGATGATGCATTTTTTAGATGCGAGCAGTCTATGGTGAACAATGTCCTTCAACGTGGACGGTCTGGAGCCACGACGTCAACTACATTACTGTCTCCTGCCTCTTTGGCCGACGAAGACCAGAGCATGCCATACGACACACTGCGACACACATCGATTAGGCGGGGAATCCTCGAGCGCTTGAAGTATGGTACTCAACGACGACCCGCAAAAGACATTGAAGAACCCGGGTCTACGGATGGCATCGGAGTCGTTCCTGGACCACCTAAGCAGCGCTTAAGTCGTAGACAAGGTCACAAGAGACAGACTTCGGACGTCACGACTGACGAGACCGGGGGGTCAATGGCTGCGCAGTCTATTGTCACTCCCAAAAGGAGTCATTCGCTGGTGCACAGTGTCGTATACGAGTCGCCCTTGCTTCATACAGGATTCAGAATTATCGAGGAGGACCCTGAGATGGACGTGATGCTTGCAGAGCAGGAATGCCAGGTCACCAATCGCCATGCGGCCACTCATCACAAGCATTTCGCGGCGCAGGACGACTCTGATGCAAATTTGATCTCTCCTTGGGCAACGTCTCTCTCTCGACAAGCAGAAACTGATACGTATACCACTTTGCCAGCGCGACGAAGTGCCAAGAGCAGCCCGTTCTCAACCCCGGGTATATCGCGCACGTCAACTACAGCTTCTCCGCCTGCGATGTCGCGCGTTGATTCCTCTGTCCTTCCGTCAAGTCCTCCACGGATCATGTCCCCACCACTTGAGTCTAGGCTCTTCTTCGGTGCCATTCCGCCGGATTTTGGAGTCACTCCAACGCTGAACTTGCAATTTCCCTCCCAGCACGCATCCTCATCAGTACCGGACCGAAGCTCTCCACCGAGACAAATGAACAAGCTGCACACCACTAGAGAGCCACCGCTTCTACCGTTCCCTTCTTCCTCGATCTCCTCTCCATACAGTAACCGCCTGAAGAAGGCCATCCGGCAGGCTCGGCCGCCTGCTACTTCTCCGACTCCTACCCCAGCAGGGCCCTCTCCCCCTCCTGGAAGGCACTCTGGCGCCTTGACGCCCACGACGGGCTTCACAACAAGACATTCAGCCCATGACAAAGTGGATGAAATTGTGTCGCGAAGCTGGAGCCAGAGGGACGTAAGCGCAGACATGTTTGTCAGGAGTCCGACACTATTTGGGGCATTGGCCCTCCATCTACGTCCCTTGTCCGGTCACCCTGACAGTGTACTTCAAGGCGGCGCTAGCGTTCCGAAATCTCCGCTGGAAGGTATTGAACAAAGGTTGGAGGCCTTGTTGAAGAGCAAGAACAAGGACAGCGGACATTGTGAGAGGGTATGAGAAACTGCAGGGTGTACGCTGTACCTTGGATGAGAACATCGATTTTGCAGATCGTATGTACATATTGTGCTCTAGCTGTCATAACAACCTTTTTTATCTTCTGACTGTATCGATTGGCCCAGCAGTTATTGAGATTCAACATCGCTACTTTTCATTCCCCTCTGAATGACTTCGTGTGATACCCCACCTACTCCTCTTGAATTTCCTTCACACAAAACACGTCATAAGCTACACACATAAGTCGTCTGAACCGATTATCTTCAAATACGGGGGAAATGCATTCGTGCGAACTTGGTGTGACACTCAATGAAATTCTGGTTTTTGCGCCATGCCTTGCATTTCCAACGGCATCGAAGCATGCGTTGTATAAATTACAATCCTGGTCATCGACATCCACGACGGTTGTATAAATTACAATCCTGGTCATCGACATCCACGACGGAGAGCAAGGAAAGATCAGCAACCCGCGGTACTTTCAGCATTGGCGTGGCGGCCATCATGGCTTCCTTGGAACACAAAGCAAACGCAGCTAGATCTCCGGCATCTGATATCTGTTCGACAATGCATATCAGCAACTCCTGCGAGAGATCACGTAGTCGGTTGTTTGCTGGTAGTAGGAGAAGGTCATTTCCTTCGCCAAAGCCATGCGCCTGCGCTACCATGAATAGATTATTCCTCCATTCGAACCGGACAATCTGGGAGAGAAGTGACAACGCGGTAATTCCGGGAGTCGACGGAGATTTCGTGTAGCAAGAAGGAAGGAATGGGAAAGCGACAGAATGCGCGATGGTTACCTCCGGATTTATTGTGATTCAGAAGATTGAACAATGGAGAGCGGAGAACAGAATACAATAGACAGGCTCGAGCGAGGTAGAGCCCTTGTCCAAGATCTGCCTGGAAATATCCACGATCGCTGCTTGAAGGTGTCGTTGATCGTCGAGATGCGTACATAACAAAGCACACAGATCACCCTGAGGCCACCAGAACTCTGGTGGTGAGTCACCATCAATTTCGAGCTCGCGATTCTTCGTCATATCGGCCCATTCACGACTTTCCAAAAACCGGAGACGAACGGAGTCATTCTATCGATCGCGATAGAGAAATGAGGCATCATATGACAGCCTGCAAAATGCCCACCGAACCAAATTACTCATAATGGCGAGCACCGGATCAGGGATGTCGTAGTGATCAGGTATGGCGTCCAACTGCTGCAGAAACTGACTATGTTCGTACATGACGCAGCCGACATGGAACTCGAGGAGTCGGATGCAAACATAATGACTGGAGGATAATTCGGAGTTGGGGCCAAGCAGCAGTGTTTCGACACTCTCGAAGCACACTGCGCCGAAGTCTTGTAATCCCGCAAGGTCGCATCGGCCACCGGCGGAGGTGGAGTTGACCAGACATATCGGTATTCCTCAGGTGTATGCTCGTTCAAAGCGCTGTTTCCGAATGAATCGAAGGAGATTGCCTCAACGAATATATCGTAAGGGGGCATGTTGTCGAGGCGGTACATTGGTGCATTATTGATGAGGAATACAAGGTGGTCGAGATTCATTTCGTAGACCCACTGAATGTGGAGGTCATTCCAGGGCAGCACTGTGGAAATGGAGTAGGTGGCAGACGACGATCTCTCCCTCTCGTCCAAGCTCTCCCAGTCTTCCAGCTGAGTATCTAGCGATGCACGTGTGTTGGTGAGCCATGTCTGGAATTCAGCTGGGTCTTTTGGAATTGTCTCCAGAAGATCCAGACCTAGTCCCTCCGAGTAGGAATCATACTGATTGTAATATCGTATATATCGTTTCTTGTGCCTGTACATTTTATATCCACGAGTGCCCATGCTAAAATAACTACTGATCTCTATCAAATCGCGCAAGCTTGTCCCATTCTACTACATACCTGTATCTGATATTTCAAGTGTAAAGTGACTAGTCTACCACGCGGCGAGGAAAAGACTGGCTATTACTTGCGGCGAGTCGAGCAACGCGAGATAAGCGCTTCAATTCAGGCCCGCAGACAGAGGTTATAATAATTTCCTATTTTGGGATCATGTGGCTGCGGCAGCGATGCCCACAAGCTATGTAATCAAGCTCCGCTACAATCTCAATCGATCGCGGCAATGACTGAATTGATCCTAGTCGTCTGTCTTCATGAAGGTGTCAGTTTCCATTTGAGTCCAGATGTTTCGTGCTCAATTTCTGGTACGTGCATGCAACTACACTGATTAATCCTGTTGTACTAATACCTCTTAGCGCAAAGATTCCGAACGTAAGTCGTTGACGGTGTTAGACTCTTGCGGCGGCCAAAAGCCTTCGGTATGTCTTACTTTATCAGAATTCAGAGAGTTCTGCGCATGAGCGGCACTTTTCGGCTTTGTCGCTCAACGACCACTTCCAGAAGCGACCCATATACAAGCCTCGGGCTTGAATAATCCTGGGGAAACATTTCATAACCGGCGTCGCAATGGAATCTAGCTCTTCTAGCTCCTCCACTGTAAGTTACGGGGAGGTAATTCCAAGCCGATTTATCACAGAGTCACCGCTGCCTATTGAAGACGAACCCAGTGAGGCAGGAATACGGCCGCAACCCCGCACCTTGGAATATGTTCGGCAATTGACCGCAGAAACACTCGCCCTCCGAGCCATCCAGAGAGCAGAGACCATCGATGGCAGTAAAGTCGGCGTGGTTTTTACACTCTCACATACAGCCGATAAACGCTTCTTGAAACTTATCAGTTCCTCCATCAAACGCGCTCTTCTTACAAGGGGCTTCCTCTTTGCTGTTGGCTCTCCCAGTGCCACCCCGCAAGATCCAAGACCTCTCCTTATCTGCGGCTCTTCTGACGATTTCGTGAAACGCGCAGGTGTCCTCGTCGGGTCTAAATTTCTCGGACGCATCACGGAAACTTTCTTTATCGGCCGAGGTCTCTGGGTGGGCGCTGTGCGCGACCTGGGCGGCAACTCGTCCGACGAGGCAGCACTCTGGGATGTGGTGCGCAAAGCAGCGCGCAGTCCCATAGATCCACTTACTCCCCCGCCCGGTTCGACAAGCGTCGCTCAACTCGTTTCCGTCGCCCGCGCTCATCTGGAGCGAATTACACCCCAACAAGCTTACGGGGAGCTGCATGATCCGACAAGCATGTGGCCAGTTGTTCTGGTTGACATCCGCCCAGAAGCAGAGCGTCGCAGAGAGGGCGGAATCACGGGGTCCATCATCGTTGAACGCAACGTTCTAGAGTGGCGTTTTGATCCTCGCAGCGATCAGCGCCTGACGCTGGCCAATCGTTATGATCTACGAATCATTGTGTTTTGTCAGGACGGTTATGCATCGTCTTTGGCAGCAAGGTCTTTGCAAGATGTGGGGATGCTGCTTGCGACAGACATGATCGGAGGGTATGCTGCTTGGAGAGAAGCAGGGCTGCCATTCGAAGTACACCCCGCTCTGCCTATAAATTTCTCATCGAGTTCCACAAGTGAAATGGATGATTATTGACAGTGGGACTGCTCACCTCATTTCGCAGGAATATCACTTTCCCCCAAGTTCCACGTCATAGATTCCCTTAAATTCGCTTTTAGCTTGCTCCCCATTTGCTTACCGCCATCTTCAGCGAATCATCGAACGGCAGACATTTGTATAAAACGAATTATCATGGTGATGATATCGAGCAGCACCGGGAATATAAATTGCATGCCAACGTATCGTATGTGATCTTTGGTGCCAAAACACTCTCGAACTTATACTGCCACAAGCGTACGAATACCACTCGAGTGTTGCCATTCATCTCGAACGTTAGCGCAGTCGACGATCCGCGCATTACAGTTGCAATTTTGTGACAGAGATACTTCGTCCGCTCATTACTGTGGTGACACCCAAGTGGAATCTCACATAGTGCATCTACTAGTTGCAAGTATGTCACGAGGAGTTTTTTTTAAATCCCTTTATTGTCCGCGAGGGCCTGGCCCTATATCGACAGTAGGTGCGGTGTTTATATAGATTATTTTCACGGGTTCATATTTATTCTCGTACATCGCATGCTGAATGTTTGATCCAATGGCCTCGCCGCTCCCAGAATAGGTTTCACGCTGGATCTGGCTTCGCTGTATCTCGCTGTCTTTGCACAAGCTGGAGACTCCTCCACGTAGGACTAATCACTCCCTTCGATGAGAAATTAGGACGGGCCGTACACATCCTATCGATCGCGATGCTAGCCCCCTGTAGACGTAATAGTACCGGTCTAGAAAGTAGCGAATTAGTCACCAGGCAACGTGTTTACGACCACTCTATTGAAGCTGCGCGACGTATTTGATGGGGAGATTACGAACGAACAGTAGGAACGTGCTGTCACTCTATACTCGTTTCAGAGAATGAGAGATTTTGGCGAATGTCCGTTATGGACCGTGACTGCGTACATGGTACAGAAGCTGTAAGGCGATGAATTATTCGACGTAGCAGACGCATTTAAAGAAAATATTCGTAGAGATCGCCACTACTGATCAAAGTATTGCAACAAGCAATAAGTGAATGAATCCTGAACGTGAAGGAATCCGCATTGACCATTGAGAGTGAGGAACAATGATCATATATTCATCCAGGAAGAATAGAACCAATCTATGACAGCTTATAGGGAAAAGATATTTACCGTAACATGCAGTCAGAAATATACATCTTCCATATATAACGAAACTCGGTCAGCCTACGTACACTGCTTCTATAACGTCCTGCTCCCGCGATACCCCTCGTGCAAACCGAGATCCTCGGAGCCTTCGACGACAGTGATTTACAGCCAAGCACGCGGTCGCGTGGGCTCCTGCGTCCGAATGCATGAGTCATATTTCAATGTTTCAACCCCCGGTGGTCAACAATCTCGGCCAGTAAATTAGAGGCGCTTTCGTCCAACTTCGCTCCACCAAGATGGAGTTTGCTGAGTAGAGGACACAGAAATTCGTCTGCTGCGTTAGCGCATGAGTAATGGAGACTCTCCAGTATGTTCTTGACTTGGCCTCGTGATCCGACGCTTAGGCATTCCAAAGAAGGAAGGCGGGCCAGGGCGAGCCGCCATTGGTCCTCGGCAATCAACGCCAGGTTCCCGTGGAGTTCCAGCTCAGCTATCGGCGCGGAGGCGAAAGTATCGGTCAAATCGCGCAAAGCGTCCGGAAGGAGAAGGGTCATGTCGACGGGCTGGTCACAATTCAACTCCAACTGTAGTATCTTCTTTGATACTGGGCCCACGGCATCGAATGCTCGCACGCGAAAGATATTTGCGGAGACAAACAAGTAGAGCGACCGGGCTTCTAGAAGATTCGTCAAGCTACCTAGGGCCTTGGGGAATATGCCAGCGAGAGGACTGATGGTGATATGGTCGGGATCGAAGGAGCAGCCGACGTCGAGGTAGGTCCTCGCGGGGAGTGACAAATGGGTGAAGATATCAGAGATGACAGCCGCGCTGGCCACCAGCTTGAACTCTTCCAAGGAGGGCAGCGAGACCATGAGTGACTTGTCAGCCATTGCCCTGTGTGTTTGAGAGCGAGCGAAGCCTTGCTCAGTGATGCTCAGAGACTGTAGACGATGACAATTTCCTAATGTCTCTAGAATTATACGAGCGACGTCGGGGCGAGTTGAGAAAGCGTTGCAGAGATCGAGATGAACAAGGTCCCGAAATGCCACTGGCGCGGCACGGAGAAGTATCCCTTTCAAGGAGAGTCGACTGAGGGAGGGAAGTGTTGCTCCATCGAGCCAAAGAGTTGGTATCTGTGGCGTGGAGCTGCGGATAGTGACGTGAACTGTAAGGTCTTCTAAACCAGGCGCTGGCGTCGAACATCTAAGCTTGGTAAGTAATGTCTCCGCTGCTTGCTCAGAAAGCGCCGGAAATTTCAACGTCCGGATGCGGCGGACATGAGGCATAATGACGTCCAGGAAGGGTCGGACGTCGAACACGTATTTGCGATAAGTGATGTCGAACGGAACGCCTTCAGAGCGCCGCAAATACGCATCAAGGGCAGATGACCCTTGTCCAGCAGACACCGCCGACCACAATAACGGCGCGGAGAGGGCCACGTCTCGCCAGTACCCACAAACGTGCATAAGCTCGGGGCAAGCCACGCCTCGGCTAATGGACTTGACAATATAGAAGACCTCCATCAAGATCTCAGTGGGCAGTCGGTTGACAGGCTGATTAGCATTCCTAGCACGACCCAAGCGCAGGGCGCGCTGCCCAGCCTCCGGTGACATCGGGTCCATCCAGTAAGGCGCATCTTCTGTGAGCGTAAAGCTGGAACGTGCGCGCTTCTCCTTGGGCAAGTTTGGGGCAAGCGTTCGCAACGATCCGTCTATCACCGCCTGTTGAAGGCACGCTATCATTCTGTCTTATGGAACATCAAGATGGACATTTAGTACAGTTCATCAAAGATGAAAACAGATACGCACCCGAGACACTGTTAGGGCTTCTGTTGCGGAGCGGTCTTAGAATCAAGCGTATATCTCTGAATCAGAGACACTCAACAACCACTCCAGTATAGGTAAATGGTAACTTACACAACCACGAAACACGAATAAGTGACCACTGGTTGCAAAAACAAACTTGCTGGCTGTCTGGGATTGGGAATTCAGCAGCTGTGGGCTACAGGTACAGATGAAAACGCCTTACTGAAGCCGGCTGTAAAGTCAGGGAAATTGATGGGATAGAAAGAGAGAAGCGCAAGAAACCACGTCGTGGTCTTATAGAAATCCAAGCCGCCAAGTTTCCTCCCAGGCTTCGGGCGAATTCCCTGATAAGTCCAAGTCGGGAGATGCTACGAACGCGGGCGTGTCGTCCGATATTTCATGGCGCAGAAGATTCCTGTCGTGCCCTCGACTGCAGCTGTCTCCTTGCGGAAGCTGGACAAGGTCCCGACTACGGACCCGTGTCCACTATCTTGGCTCTGAGATTGTTGACGCCACTGTCATCTTACATGGGAACGCTGTCACTCCAATTGAAACAGCCATTGCGACTTTTACGCAGTCGACATTGTCGCCAGACTTACCACTAGTGGAAATCTGTGTGGATCAAGAAGAGTGATCATATCAGATAACCGGTGGGAAAGCATATATACACCAATATAACCTGTCATTCTTCTTCGTCATTCTCCACTCACCTTTAGGGGTCTCACGGCGTTGTGTGAGTGCTCACACACGCATGAGAATAACGGGATGATCACATCCACGTCTACCGAGAACTGCGTATTCTATGGAATACAAATGATACAGAGACCAAGCGGAGCAGTGAGATACTACTCACGGGTTAATGCACGGATGCTGTATAGCATGCACGGTACTCTGCTGAGTGCGTGTATTTTCCAAGACTCGAAAGTTAGAAATTGCTATACTCAATGTCACATGTCTTTCGCATGGGATCCGATAACAGATACCGAGAGAGGGGCAGATAATTCGGGCGTAGTCCATTGTTAGAAATGGCGAGACCTCGTCGACTGACACCGAGCAATAGTGAAAAGGTAATCGCAAGACAAGATTGTCACAAAAAGCCGGAAAGCCTGTTTAAACATTGAGCCAACCAATCCACCTTGATACATCGGGGAAGGACTGGATCCAAATCTGGCGGCATAGGAGTGCGCAGGTACACTTCATCGTAGTGTGTTCTTCAAAGGCGTCCCGTGCCCGGCTCTGTATTGCTACGTGCTACGGAGCTCGCAACAGAAAGACTTCGATGTACGTACATTCGAAGGTGCGCGGAAGCTATCTCGGCGAACCAGCTGCCGTTATTTGGCTCAGACAATCGTACTCAACACACTATTGGGTCGGGCGGTAAGCAGGAAACGTCTCAGTATAAGCAGGAGTGGTCTTCTAGCTGCAAAATAAGATAAAAACATTGGTGACCAAAAGCAAGTCAGATACGTAAGTTTTCTCAAATTGCACGTCAAGAAAACTCACTATCTGCATAGGCTGGGAAATTAGATCACACTAGCTGATTAGTCCAACTGTGTGGCACAACAATAATTGATCCCGATCAGAACAGCAGCGCGCCGTCGCCGGAGGCTTGAAATTCCTTCGAATCCGTCGGAACAGTAGTCAAGCAGTCCTGCCGTGCGTTTGCGTAGAGCCAGAAAACTGAGAAAATATGAAATTCGTGGAGGTATTTGACACATGTGCCGTTTGCGGCTTAACGGGATTGATTCATTGGAGTATGATATCTGCCATCCCGGAAGAGACGCAGAATGAAATCAGCGATGCAATATAAGACATTTGTAGTCCACTAGATTGCTGATAAAAACAATTGAACGCCGCACCTCATGGTTCTGGACCCGGAACTTACTCATTCGTCTTCTGGATCACCCAGACCCCCTTCATCCTGCAATAACTCTTCGTCCTCAATTGCTATGGGTTCTTCCGACTCTTCAATAGCTTCATCTTGCATATCCTCTTCTTCATCCACATCCTCTTCGTCTTCTCCCATCTCCTCGTCACCATCTATCTCTTGCTCCAAATCTTCGCCTATTCCTTCCTCTTCCTCACCCTCAAGCTCTGGTTCTGAATCCTGCGCTGCCGGAGACGCTGAGAGAACTGTAGCTGTTGGACCTTTGTGTTCCTTCTCCTTGCCCTTCGAATTTGACCTAGCAGGTGCTGACGACGAAGCAGACACAGACGTAGATACAGTGTCTTGCTGCGACTCCCGTGTCTTGCCTTTGGACCCTCCACTTTTGCGGCTCTTATCTGCCTTTTGAATTTCACGGTAAACTGAACGTGAATGAATAATTGTGACCGACAAGCAGAGTGGATCTCACTCTGTAATTCCCGTTGAAGCATGGGTAGCATGTCACCCAATTCCACCATTTCTAGAGCTTTGAGTACGTCCGATGCAGATATGCTCTTGTGCTGTTTCGAGCTAGAAACTTCCTGTGCAGTAGCAGCTGTGTGGTAAGTGAATGGGCTGAGAGCACGAACTATGATTCTATGAGCGGAGTTGTGTGCACCTAAATAATTGATGAAGACGGTGGATGCCTTTGAGTACGAAAGAACAACATCTTTCTGCATCTTGGTGCCTTCCGACATTCCGGAACGGGCGAGTTTCGTAACGAGACTGCGAGGAAGCTCGAAGTTCTCGATGCCCTCAGAAACTACCTCCTGCTGTGAGGCAGCAGTCACAGTAGATGTCCCAGGCTGTTTTCTTGGCATAGTCGATTAGAAATGAAACGAATAACAAAGGCGAAAGGGTATGACTGAAACGAAGAGACTGCTGAAAAGTTGAAAGCAACGGCCGTCTCGAGTTGAACCCACGGTGTTTGGCGCTGCTAGACGCTGCGCGCCAAACTACAAAGGGGCGTTTTCGGGGTCGCTTCGGCTACCACTCGGCGTCGAGATTCCGTCCTCGCCCTCATCAACACGAGATCATAAAAGTTACACTGAATCTGCTACCCGCAATGCCGAAGGTTGTCTCATCGTCTTTCACCCATGTTCACGGAAATAGTCAAGCAAACAGCGCACAATCCCTGCGGAGAAACCAGGTATGTTTTCCTCGAAAGTCGCTTCGACAGCGCACCCATCTCGCGTTCATCAGGCCTGCCACCAGTGTCGGAAGAGGAAATTGGTGAGGAGTCTGCCAGCTTGAACTTTATTTATAGTGGTCTTCGCTCACCCTCGGTGATCCTTGTCCAACCAGAAATGGTCAGTACTCGGGCAGCCTTCTCCCCGAAGCCCGAGCTGCACTGATGGAACACAACTTTGACATTACCGCTCTACCTTAATAGCGACGCCAAGAGACCTTGCTCAACGTGTGTACGCTCTCATGCGTACGCGGTGGCTCACGCACCGGCGGGCTCGAAGATTCCTCTGCAGCCTGATTGTACATTTGACATCTGTCAGTGACCCCCCGGTTACGGTACGATTTCCTCGCTGACCTCCGAGAATGTCGCTACCCAGTGCCTGATCTCAGCGGTGTCGAACAGCGTGACCCGCCTAAGAGCCGCTTTGAGAAGCTCGAGAACAGAATCAGTAACTTGTATTTTATATCGAGGCTTTGTATGTCGCTCATACCGTTGCAGACGAACTTGAAGCTCTCTTATCGACCCAGGGTAGTTTGTCAACAACTCCGTCGTCTCGGCCCACACCAGAGGCTATGACGACGCAGTACGTAGCTGCAAGCCCCTCTCCTTCAACCAGCAATCATGGCTTGCCTATCTCTGTCAACGGCTTTGCTCAAGTGGAGCGCCCCCCAGACAGCGTCGTAGACCCGATTTTGTTAAATTTTGACTCATTGTCGCGTTCAACGGCACTTGACAGTCTCGCCGACGCTGCAATGCTTATCGAAACATCGGCAATCAACCCCGACCCCTTCTCGATCAACTTGACCCTTACAGACAACACCATGGGCGAAAAGATTGTCCCTTTGCAAAGTCCGGATCCACTAGGACAAGTCATTGCCCTAGCATGGCCTAAAAGTCTCCCTCATCCAGAGCTTTTACGACATTTGTGAGCAATAATTGCCTCTATGTTAATATCATCGGGCCGACATGCTGTGCAGGGTCGATGCATATTTTTCCTTCAATGCCGATGCAAACCGATTGTTCCATCGCCCCAGTTTTATGGCCTCTCTGTCTCTCCCACCGACACATCCTAAATTTCCTCTTACGCCCCTGCTACATGCTATGTGCGCCATTGGAAGCTTATATACGGCTGTGGTGGCTCCAGTCCCGAACGTGACCACGTCTCCTATCCCCATTGGTGAGAAACATGTCTACCAGCAGATATTGTAGCTAAAAGAACGATATTTGAGATGATCCGTTTGACAATAAACACAGAGTGCACGAGCAGAGACCCTTATCTTTCGCAGAAATACACGCTGGCTATGCCCGTCGTGCAATAGACGCAGCATCGGAAATGGGAGAGGAATTGTTTCAGATGCTCCAAGGTAGTACATGCATCTTATGCTCTATCGCATCACTTCTCATACACTTCCCATTGTAGCTGAGATTCTACTCGTTTCATGGAACTGGGCGTCGGCAAAGTGGGCCGAGGCGTATATGTGCATATCCCGCGCATTGCGTACCTGCATACCGCTGGGTCTCAACGTGGGCGCGTCGTTTCACACTATTTCTGAGTCGTTCCGACCGCCTTCGATCATTCCACCACCTCGCACACCCACAGAAGATGAGACACGAAGGAATGCATTTTGGATAGGTTCGAAACACCATTGATTACACCCAGACTCAAGTACTGAATCCTATCTGCAGCATACTCCTTGGAACGCAGCATGGGTTGCGGACACGGGTGGGCTCTGATGATCGATGACCAAGATGTCACCCAGCTACTGCCTGTACGCGGACAAAAGTTCAACGATGAAGCGAGTGTCTCATATTCACATAGCGCGGCAGGCGCAGGCTGAACGATGACCATAGATCCACGCCCCGCCCTCCGAGCGCCAGTGGTCGCACGCGCCAGATGTCCTCGTTGTCCACCCACCGGAACAAGCAGATTCGTTCGTGATGTATGTCAAGGCGTGCATGCTGCTCTCGCGAGTGAAGTCGTTCAATGCGCGCTTTCGAGCCAAATTATATGCGGGGGATCCGTCAATGGCCACGTACAATGAATCAGATACATTCAAGCCGAAGGACATGCGCACGTCACCAGCCTTCCAGGAACTGACAACCCTGATCGGAAAGTTCAAGGATTCATTTCCTGCGCATCTCCGCAATCCGGTAGAGAACGGCCTGGTTGACTCGTATCTATTTTCCGCCTGCACGGCCCCTTGGTTGTGGGTGTTTAGGCCAGCGTTGTCGCTTGGTTTGTGCTAATGTCGGATGCATTTGAAGGGCATTCATAATCTTACATGAGCCTCATGCTCACGTCTGGTCACCGGTTTGCGATTCCGCTTTGAAAATTCTGAACTCATCGCGTGCAATCTTGAATCTCGTATATGATGTCTATGCCACAAGCTATGACCTGGCACTGCTAAGCCAATTTTCGATTGTATGGACTATATTTCGTTACTTGTTCATTCACTGACTATGGCATCAGCTATCTTGGTTCATGGCCGGACGGGTCTTGGTTCGTTTTCTGCAGGCTGCTTTTGAGTCTGGAGAACGGGAGATTGGGACAACTCTTCTCGTAGAGATTGACTTCATACGGTGCATCACCGATTTCTCGCTGTTGGATCCACAGAGTATACTGACACTAACTACAGAACGGTCTTGTCTCAGGTCGGGGAACGAGTTCCCCTTGCGCGTGAGTTCCTTGTGTTTCTTCCTAATAATGGTATTTACCCGTACTATTCGTTTGTGAACTTTAAGATCGTTACGGGAAGATGCTCGAGGAGTTCATCTGCAAGCACTGCGGTCGGCAATATGTTAACACTCTTCCAGCATCGCTTCCTCCGCGCGGATACGCACCATTTGCCACAAATGGGGAGTGGCCTAACACCTCGGATCTCGTGTTGAATCTGCAGGTAGATTCAAGTGCATGGTCTCAGTGAGCGGTCTCCACTGGTCCCATGGATTTTGTATAAATGTAGTCTTGGTTTCCGGGTAAATTATGTGAATGTATGATAACAGCAACAATAATTTTGTACTCAGACTATGCACGAACATTCTACACTTCGCAGTTCGTACCAACTCTCGAGAACATCGAAGTTGTAGTGACGTACTACTACAATAGATCTTGAATAAGTAGCCAGCATTTAAAAGCTTTAAAAAGCTGTATACCCCAGGATAAGGTATAACTTACTTTACATTCAACTACAAAAGGTAGATCCAAAAATCTGTATTTTACCTCTTCCCTACCTTACTGCTGCACTCCCTTCTGGTCTGGACTCTACGTTTTTGCTCGCGCCTCTGGTAGAACATTTGTGTTCTATGAAGCTTTCATTATTTTAGTCATGTCGTCGAAAGGAACTGCCCTACTTGCCTGGGTATTTTTCGTCCACCTCACCGCCATCTACCTTTACACCAGAGGTTTTCTCCTTACTCGTCTCTCGCTTTCGGAAATATCTTCGTGCCCAGATGGAGAGTGCACACTTCAGCCTACTTACAAGCGAGCGGTCGTGCTCATAATTGATTCGTTACGGTTTGATTTCCTTACGCCAGATCCACCGCATCCGCCGTCACCACACCACCACAACGTCCTTACCTTCCCGCAAGAGCTAACGGCGTCGTTACCTGAGCACTCACTCATCTTCGATGCCTTCTCGGACCCGCCTACAACTACACTGCAGCGCATCAAAGGCCTGACCACGGGCTCCCTGCCTACTTTCGTGGACATGGGTTCAAACTTCGGGGGCGCGTCCATTGTCGAGGACTCGCTGCTGAGCCAGCTGCGCGACGCAGGCAAGAAAGTGCGTCCATCCGTTGTTTTGTATACCTGTACGTTCGACTACAGCGCAGCACTAGGTCGCATTCATGGGTGATGACACGTGGACTACCGTGTTCACGGCGGACATGTTCGCGCCAGGCTTATGTTTCCCTTACGACTCGTTCAACGTAGAGGACCTGCATACCGTCGACGAGGGCGTCATTCGCCATCTTTTCCCACTGCTCTCGAACGATTCGGCTCCGTGGGACGTCATTATAGGACACTTCCTGGGCGTCGACCATGTCGGACACCGCATAGGTCCAGACCATCCAACAATGCGGGCGAAACTTACGCAGATGGACGACGTACTCAGGCAAGTGGTCTCTTTCCTTCAAGATGATACGTTACTAGTTGTGCTCGGGGACCATGGGATGGATAGACGAGGGGACCACGGCGGAGATGGAGTGCTGGAGACATCCTCGGGGCTCTGGATTTACAGCAAAAAGCCGCTCACACGTGGCATTGCGGCCATCCCTCCTGCATTCCGTCACACTCGCATATTCCCCGATGCCAGCGTGCCGCATCGTTCTGTACAGCAGATTGACCTCGTTCCCTCACTGGCGCTCCTTCTCGGAATTCCCATACCATATAACAACCTCGGGATGGTTATCCCCGAGCTGTTCAGTCACGATACGCGCGCAGAGACGCTAGGGAAAGCGCTGGAATTGAACGCGCAGCAGGTCAGGTTGTATCTGGATACGTACCGCTCAAGCGCGTCTGGGGGCGAACTCGACAGTGCGTGGGACGAGATGCAGGCACAATGGGCGGCTGTCCAAGCGGCTTCAACCAGCGAGGCGCGGTGGCTCGCAATCGAGGGCTACACACGGATTGCACTCTCCGCCTGCCGTTCGCTATGGGCGCAATTCAATGTCACGCTGATCGGTCTAGGGCTCACGTTGTTGGGTGTTGGGGCTATGGCAGGATATGTCCTGTTCATCAAGTTTGGAGAACTCCACGACGATTGGATTGACTGGGCGGGGACGATGCGATGGACTTGCATGTGGGGAATGGCCGTCGGCTCCGTGGCAGGGTTCACACTGTACTTTCCACTCCGATCGCACCTAAAGGGTGTCGACGCGCTCGACTGCGTGCTCTTTGGCGCGCCGCTCGTCTCTTCTCTCGCAGTCATTGCTACTGCACGACCCGCGTCGTTTTTCTTCCGCCCCAGCTCGTTCTCACTGCCTCTACTCTTGCACACACTGGCATTTGCGAGCAACTCATTCACGATTTGGGAGGACCATGTCGTCACGTTCCTCCTGCTCTCGTCTGCAGTGCCTGGTGCGCTTGCGGGATTCGCAGCGCCAACAGCGCGCCTGCGCTGGCGCATCCTCGGGTTCTCTGCGCTCTTTGCCGCATGCGTACGTCTTATGGCCATAAGTACCGTCTGCCGTGAAGAGCAACACCCGTATTGCCATGCGACGTTCTTCGCGTCCGCGTCACTGCCCGCTCCCCCGCTCCCCATGCTAATCTGTGCGGTACCCTCTGCGCTTGTACTGCCCTATGCGGTCCGGCGTATTTTGCGGATATCAAAGTCGGACAACGGCCTTGCGGCGATCATGCTTCCATGGCTACTTCCCGCAGTGTTATTGCAGGGCTGCGCGTTCTGGATTCTAGAACATCTAGAGACCTCAGAAGTGTTTGGTCCCGGCTACGAATGGATCCTGCGCCCGGGACGCACTCTACTTGCGCGGTGTGCGATGGGTAGCGTCATTCTGTTCGGTGTGGCGGTCTGGTGGCAAGTTCCGCTTTGTCTAGCGATTAGTTCTTCCGCCAAGAATGACGAGACCAAGGATGCCCCTGCGAATGTCGACTCCGACGGCAAACCGAAAACGCAGGTGACGATTCTGGGTTTCGCCAACGCATTTGGGTCGTCGTATCTCATTCTGTGGTGCCTGGTCTTGGGCTTCCTCTACCCCGCAACCCAACTTACCGGTCAAGTTGTTTTGGGACTAGCGATGATTGCCATGCTTGCACATGTAGAAGTCACTGACAGCGTACGCGACGTTAGAGCGTTGGAAGCAGCCTTCGCATCGTCAACGCCGTCGTCCGCACTAGATGCGGATACAAAACGCGGGACCACGGTAACCTTTGCGGAGATAGTCCCCGTAGCACTGCTCGCTTTGCATGCCTTCCACGGGACGGGCCACCAGTCAACGATTCCCTCCATCCAATGGAAGTCCGCATTCGTGCTCACGTCTTCGCTCACCTATCCGTTCTCCCCCGCGTTGGTCGTGCTCAATGCGTTTGGGCCACAGTTCCTCATGGCGTTTGCCGCACCGCTGCTGGCGCTGTGGAACGTCGCGCCGCTCCCGCAACCTACGGCGGGTGTAGGCGTCGGCGGTGGTGCGGTGCGCGCTGGGCTCGGGATGATGCTGTACCATAGCACACTTCTGTTCGGGAGTGCGGTGAGCTCGGCCTGGCTCCGAAGGCATCTGATGGTGTGGAAGGTGTTCGCGCCGCGATATATGAGTGCGGCAGCGAGTCTGGTGGCAGTAGATCTGGCCATCGTGGTCGGTGTTGGGATCGGAGTGCCGCGGATCACAGGACAGGTGCGCAAATTATTCGATGCCAGCGCGGGGGATGGGAAGTCCGCCGCACCTGCTGCGCCTCGGCACGAGCCATTGAAAAGTACATAAATATATAGATGGTGTGTTGTAGACTTTGGAGAATGAAAACCTTCTTCGTGGGGGAGATCCCGTGTTTCTGTGGTCAACATTGGATTTCTCTAAATTGGAGAGTAGTCTTTCAGCCTTCCCGACGATGTGAAACTTGAAATCGATATATCCAGAAAGTGAGACATTGATCTGCAACCAAACGACTAGAGTATGAATACACAAGCTGTCGTGTACACTTTCCCGACCTCTCGCTTTATGTTCCATCGATCTTCCATGTATCCCTCGCACAGTTCGTCCTTGGTGAGTTGTCCGCCCCTGCAGACCTCATTTAGCCTCGTATGTTGCGAAAAGGGCGGAGAGTCGGACGCTGATTGGCTGGCTGCCGCGGAGGCCTTCTGCAAAGACGCGCTCTATTGCAATTCTGCGGGGACTGGCTGCCGTAAAGTCGCTGAATATGCGTTTATGGGCGCTCTGGGTGCATGAACAACGTCAGCTCGCTTGCGCCGGAGCGGAGTCCACACTGTGCGGGCGGCATTACCACAATGAAATTACAGCATATTGGGGTCGTTCCGGGCAGAGGTGAGTGGTGGAGAGTCTCGAGGAGAGGTTGTGTGGGAGCGACGGTCGACTGCGGCGATGCGAGCGTGAGACGGGTGGATGCGAAAGGCGGAGAAGACAAAAGGTGTGCAGGAGGAGAGGGCGAGGCACAACGTCGCCTTTTGTTGCCGCCTGGATAAAAATGGGGGCGAGATGCGGTTCGTGATCCATCTGTCACTCTGCCTCCGCTCGACAATAGCGGCCCCTGCCCAAGTCTCTCTCCTTCTCACCCCCACCCGTCGCTCGTTCCATGCCCACGTCCAACCTCCAGCTCCCCCATCTCGTCTCTTTCTGCAAGTCTTTCGAGCTGCGAACTCACCGCCAGTGCCGCTCTGTCTCCGCCGCCTCCCGCAAGTGGGCCCTCGACTGCAACTTCCTCGACGAGGACGAGCGTCGCGCACTCCCCGGCCTCCAGCTTGGCCTCCTCGCCTCCCTATGCTATCCCACCTGCGACGTCGCACAGCTTCTTCTCATCACCCAGTTCCTCGTCGTCCTCTTCCACTGGGGTGACAGATCGCCCGTCTCGACCCCGGCAGCTTTTGACCAGTGCGTCTTCGTTCCTTCCCTTCCGCTCATATCAGTTGATGTCGTGCGCCGCACGCCGCTCGCGCACGCAGTGTCTGGCTGCGTCTGTCGCGCTCGCTGCCCCCGTACTGGCAAGCACGCTTCCAGCGCCACCTCGCCGCCTACCGCGCCGCTGCCGTTCTCGTCGCGCGAGACAACGCGAACGCGGTCGTCCCAGACCTCGAGTCGTATATCTCGCTTCGACAAGATTCGTCAGGCGTGAAGATGCTCTTTGACCTCACCGAGTACGCGGAAGACCTCCGCATCTCCGACGCTGTGTTCAAGATGCCGGTCCTGGGGCAACTGCGTTCGAATGCGTGTAATATCGTCGCATGGTCATACGTATGCGTCTGCATCCCTCACGCCGCCCATTCACCTGCGCTAACATGGGACCCGCAGGACATCGCGGCGTATGCGCGGAAACACGCGTCGGGCGACACGCACAATCTCATTGTCGTGCTCATGGCCGAGCGGCGTCTTCCCCTTCAGGGCGCGATGCAGGCCGCTGGCACGCTCGTGAAGGAGACCGTCGCTACGTTCCTCGAGAACGAGCGCTTTCTCTCAGATTCCAGCGCGGACGTGCGGCGGTACATCCAGGGCTTGCGCGACGTCATCGTCGGCTCGACGTACTGGCTATATGAGACTGATCGCTTCTTCGGTGACTCTGGTGATGAGGTGCGCGAGCTTGGTTGGGTGTTCTTGCCCCCGAGCTAGGCGCGTCGTTCTCGACTGGTATGATGCGATGCGGACTAGGACTCTATTTTCGGACTCGTTTGAGCATTGTATTTGGATTCGACATGGGTTGGACCACCATCATCGTGACGCATTGCAGATTACCATTCCTTCGTTCTTATTGATCCTCGTCCCGAGAGGTTATTCGGTAATTGATTCGACTTTCGTATACACATTTTGTAGAGCACGGATTAGAGAACTTCAGGAGCAGGGCAAGCATAATGGAATGCCCAGGCACTTTGGCAGATTCTATGATGGTGTGTGCTTTTCTCGGGAGTTTGGTATCTCCGAATTCATCAGTTAAAAGCACTTTCAAAGTCTCAATTTCAATACTCATTAGTACTTAGTATTTGTGGTCTCGTGCCCAGACGTGTCGAAGACACGTCTGGGGTAGCCTAGCAGA